GATTTTCTGAGTTATACAACTAGTAATCGAAAAAGTGATGATTTTCTAATATTTTTCATTTTCATCATTTAGACATTTAGAGGATATGAGGAAAAAACTTTATGCACCAGATAGCTTTTCTAAGTTAGACATAATGGTTATGAATATTTTTTCATTATTCCGAAGGGTGCCAATGAGCAGAGCCGTAACTCATCACTGAGGAAAATTCCTATTGAACATAGGCAGAAATCGAATTACCCCAGCAAGAATTTCTAATAGCATAGGGGACAAGCGAGTTATCACCTGTGATTATAAAGTCGACTTTGCTGATTATAACCCTCCTGCGATTATTAGATATAGAACCTTGCTGCCACTAGCGAGTGCATCTGTATATTGCTATCAGACGATGTTTCTGTAGTAGGTATCTGACTTTGCTACCGCTAGTGAGTGCATCTAATAATGAGAGTAGGACAATGTTATAATCGTAGGTAGGGAACTTTGCTACTCTTGAACGGTGAAATTTTGACTGAAATCCAATTTCACTTCCCATAATTTCCACCCTGTGTTCGGTATGAATAGCAATTTATTGATTCCTAAAGAACATTCCGGACCAATGATCTTTGAAATTCGATAGATCAATTGATTCATGCACCCTCAGGAAAAACAAAAGGTTTTTGAGTAATTAATAAGAAAAAAAAAATGTCTGAAACTTTCTGAAATCATTGTATTCCAAAAAATAGGCAAGTTATTACAGTTGCGTACAGGAAAAGAAAATAATTTCATGACCTGAACATTTTTGCCCACTATAGGGTTTTAGACCATATTTTATAGAGAAGCTCTGGAACATATTTGACAATTTCAGAGTTTCATGGTACCAAAAAGAAGGAAATGTTGAATGTGAAATATTTGAATTTCAGTCGAAATACCTTGAAAAAACTCACCTTTATCATTCTATCAATCCTGGTAATAACTGAAGCACTCAGAAAGGGACACAGAAGATTTTTTTATTTGTTTAAAAGAAGTTTCCATTTCATATTTGAATTCAGATTCAGATTTTAAATACCTAATGAATTGAATTCAAGAAGGAAAGTATTCGTAACTGTCGTGTCGTCGAGATTGTCGTCCTGTACATGGGTTTGCTTCAAGAGCCCAACTGTGAATGATTGATCAAGAAAGATGTCTGATGTCTGACAAATGCTTATAAATAGGGGGACAAATCAGCAAAATATCGAATAACGAAAAGAAGGCGCTAAACAACCCCAAGTAGGTTCGTCAAATATTATTTTCGGGGCAGACTGACAGTTGTATTATTGGTAGTGAGTGCAGTTCTATGCGATGAACTTCGCAGCCACAAGCAGATAACTCACTAGTCGTAGACAATTATAAAAAAATCATGCTGTCCCAGAGTGGCAGTATATCTTCCTGCGGCAGGAAATTCACTTTCAGCAAAGTTGTTATTGCTATCATATGATTTCAAGGTGCTGCTTCTATTAGAAAATGTATAACGGTAATATGATTTTTTGTAATGGTAGCAAGAGATATCTCGGCAAAAACTCTAATAGCACAATTTTCTTCAGTAGAATAGTTAACGCCTGTTGCAAACTTGTGAATTTGCGCCCCTGATAAAAAGTAAGGCACTTTCGGAAGTACTTCAGATATTCGCATATTCAGGTTTTTTTTGGGAATAGAGAATGAGTAGTAAAACGAGTGCCCCCCCCCCCCAGCCCTAGCTTGATGGCCATAACGCATTGCACTCACTCGCATATTAGGCTAGTTGCGCCACTGGTCAAAAAGGGTAAAATCCTATTTGACAAACTCATTGAATGAAGAAAATGTTACACATCTTTGGCCATTCTGAAGGTACCTAGTAATGATCAAATCATTGCCAGAAACTTGCAGAAAATTCAACCAAATGTATCCTGAATTGACACCAATGAACGAGAGGAAGTTTGTAAGTCAAAAATCCGCTTAACTAGCATATCTAGGTAAAAAGCTAGATTCACTGTGAAGGTACAGAAAATTACAGAATTAGGAGAAACGAAAGTAACAAAAGTATAAACAAAATATCACATTTTCACAATAAATGCTCGAAATGTTGTCCATTACATTCTAAACATTTTAAACTCGTGGTTGCCTGTTGAATTTCAGGTGGATCTAGATCTTCAATACACCGCACTATTCGCCGTTGCAGTTCTTCTTTGGTAGGCACTGGAGTACTGTACACCTATAAAAAAATTCAAGCGGCGTGAGATCAGGTGATCTGGGTGGCCAGTCCCACGGATTTAAACTGACAAACCAACGATCGTCAAACATCTTGTAAAGTTTCCTGGAAACTTCCTGAGTTGAATGAGCTGACACTCTGTCCATTTTCCTTCGTCCTTCAATTTATTGAGTTAAAAAACAGTGGGTTCCATTTGAAAAAATGAACTTTTGACCACTTGTATGAACAACGGATATAATAATTATTTTAGCACGCCCTGTATGATATGGAGGCGATTTTTCGGTGTGAATTGAATACATCGAGCCTGTCCAAAGCACCACCAAAATATCAACTCTTCATGAATTGAGAGCCCTGATTTACTCAAGTTCAATTAGGGATATGTTTTGGACCATATTTAACACAAATTATTGTTCATCTCTAAAATCGATAGAGATAGGAATAGGGATGTATCAACAAAAGAGTATTGTAATAAGAAGGCAATTCTAAAAATTTATTAATATACGGGGTGTTCCATTTAAAAAAATGAAGTTGCTAGGACTTTTTGATAGAAACGTCAACGTCGCAGTTTCGAGAATATTTTAGATCGATAGAACAGGTGAAAATCCTGCGTTGCGTTCTCGATAAACGTCTAACCTACCATCGACCGTGAGTTACCCTGTATAACATGCCCATCCTGAAAATTCCGAGGAAAATTCTGGGTTCTGCTCAAAACTAACTGAATTATTGCATTGAAGCATTCTTACCAATGATGACGACCTATTTTATTATTTTGAATCGACTCGGCCGTTAGGTACTAGTTGAAATCCATAGCAAATGAAAAAACTTCACAAACGATAAGATTTACACAAAATTAGTAATCACACGAAATGTTTCGCTAACACAATAGCTTCATCAGGTGAAAAACTGGTACAATGAAAAAGAAAATATAAAAAAAATAAAAAAAATTAAAATAATGTTTTTTTTCACTGTACCAGTTTTTCAGCTGATGAAGCTAATGTGTTAGAGAAACATGTCGTGTGATTCAGAATTTTTTGGAAATCTTATGGCTTTTGAAGTTTTTTCATTTATTTTATCATAATTTTTTTGTATTTTTGTGATTTTAGTGGTGAAATGTTCCTGCATATGAAAGACTATAGCCAGACAAGATACTGCTGATGAATATCGACTCTATAGCGACACGACAATATATTGTTTCATCCTCGGTTTCATCTCATCAGAGAGGAGATATTCAGCATTTGAATTTGATCAAAGACAATCAAATCAAATTCCATTTATTGTATAAAAACACCATAGGTGATCAGTTCCATTAGAGACCTCATGTATAACAGAAATTGTTTTTTCTGCAGCTTTCGGGGAACAATTTGTATCAATAATTACCACAGGAAATCTATGGAAATTGAATTCTAGTTGTTTCAATACACGTCTCAATAATTGCGGTGCTTCATAAAAACATATTTTAAGATAACGGATACTGTAACAGTTATTATAGATTCTATAGGTGGGGTGCCACTAAAAAACTCAAAGTCTTCTCCACAACATTAATGATAAATTAAAACATCGGTTCGAGGCTGTATGGGTTGATCTTCAGCAATAATAAGTACGAAATTATAGAAGAGAAATGAAAATGTCCTCATCAATTTCAATTAAAATGTTTTGGCTCATTTTTTCTATTATTTCCAGAGTACCTCAGCCTTCCAAGCTAACAACGATATGTTGTAATTTTCTTTTCGTCTCCATATTTTTTTATTATATGCTGAGGATGAGCCTATGTGTATATAGGTTCGAAATATATGTACTATGATTTAATCTATTATCAAAGATTGTGGAGACCACTTTGACCTCTCCTCCTACGTCAATACTCCTTGAATTAAATTTTTTTTCAAGATCTAGGTGGCATAATATATGATTTTTGTCATTTGTGTACGGTAAAGACGTTTATCAAATTGCCCGGTTCACTATATATATCTACCAGTTATTTTCTGTCACAATAAAAATGTATTTATATCTATCTTTCACTGTGTTCTAAATTAAGTACTGTGGGGGTGGAGAAAAAAGTGTAAGTATCAATTCACCCTCTGATCACGTGTCAATCTTGGCTGTAGTTATATAGAGCGTAAAATATTATGCTAGATATAAGTTCAATGGATTTTCATGTATTTTATTCTATTCTTTTTCATCTTTTTTCTTTGATTTTCGTTATTTTCTAGTTAAGGTTGAGTGGAAGAAAGCACTCATCTGTTCATTCAGGGATCAGACAAAAGCTAGCTCTGCCCTTTGGTAGAAATGCATATACGTTTTTGTCACTATTTTGTACATTTATTCTTGGTTCTACCAATAAAAGCATTCATCAAAATTATTATTATTATTAATAATAATTATTATTATTATTATTATTATTATTATTATTATTATGAATAATTATCGATCACCCTGTAACTATGAGGTCGGTATGGGAAAAAAGCATCAAGTTGATCCATGCAAAAGTTGAGCTTATCAAGGAATCTATTCTCGTGAGGACACATAATGTGATGGGTGACAAAAAACATAAGTAATGTGATTTGGAGAATTTACATTCTAAACATAACTGTGGGTGGTCCATGTTCGGAGAACATCGACGTCGGTCGCCGCTAGAGTGCAGAATCAAAGTAACTACAATGAACGACTCCAGCCATGGTGTGGTACACCACTACTCCGTAAGTAACTCACTGTCTCTTCAGTATGCGAGCGAAGCGAATCCGAGGTGGAGCCTGTGCCGTCGTCGTCGTTCGAGCTCAACGTGTGTTTACAACATCTTGTTTACTTTCATCGCGTGTTCACTAACATTTTGGCAACCCCTCGATGAAGTGCACAGACAGCCTTTGACGTTGGTGGGCACAGTGTTTTGTTTATCTACGCAAGGATGGCGGAATTCCAGCGGGATTTCGGCGCTGCGCCGAGGACTGCCAATTGTTTTAGATTTAGAAAGATCGAACATCCGAGATGTCCGAATCAGCTGGTGTATTAGATGACTGAAGAGTGCAAGTGGCTGTGGCGACCAAAAAATGAAATGTACAGCGTAAAGATTGCCGATGATTCGGTCTGAGTGTGGCTGCCGGAACCGTGTGCTCGACGAGGATGGCTTCCATGGCGCCATCGGACTCGTCGACGGAGACTACAGAAAGGCACGAGTCGGACCTTTACACGAGACCAGGCTGGGTCGACGCAGATATTGCCCTGGGCCAGCTAGATCAGGTAAGTCTCTTCCCGAGCATCTTCCTTTGCCTTGCTTCCAGGCTCGCTGCTCGGGAACTGGAACGTCCTCGAGCATCGAGCTGGTCCCTTTAATCAGGTGTGATAGATGATTTTCGGAGCCGGGCCTGGTGGGCGATATGCCGTGTTACGTTAGCCTTGGCGGGACCACCGGGTAGGCAGCGTGTGTGGTCCGCGGCTAGCTTAGTGGCTCGAGTTACCTGTGCCCGCACCCCTCCGTCCGCCTGTGCCGAGGGGTAAATCACTGAGCAAATTCGTGTACACCGGACTGCCATTCATACTCGGACTGCCAAGACTGCCACCGGACTGCCACGGACTGCCACCGGACTGCCACGGACTGCCACCGGACTGCCACGGACTGCCACCGGACTGCCACGGACTGCCATCGGACTGCCACGGACTGCCACCGGACTGCCACGGACTGCCACGAACTGCCACCGGACTGCCACAGACTGCCACCGAAATGTAATGGACTATCACTCAATCATTTGTTCCAATAAAAATAAAGCTGTTTTTTGGAAATTTCAATTCACCACAAGAACAAAGTTCACGAAAACCGTTCTGACTGAATAAGTACTAGAAATGCATCCCCGATGGTGATTAACATAAAAGAAATGAATCATCAACCGTGACCTACGATATGAAGATCTCATTGGAAACCTATGGCATAAGAAACTGATTCGGAAATTATAACATTCCTGTATATAACATAACATATCTCGTTATCTACATGAAATGAAGATATTTTTTGCGGTGCAATAGGTGAAGTGGAAATACACGTCAATAGAACAGAAAGCCGATGTTTTTATTTTTCTGTCGATTCGCCTGAAAATGTTCAGCACAAAATTTTCGAGGTTGAACAATACGAATTTTGAGTGAAAATTTGAAAATTGATATACTTATTTCGTTCATTCCGTTTGGAAGGTCAAAATCAGGATTTGTCGTTAATATCTCGGTGAATACGAATTTTGAATTGTATTTGAGAATTTCAGATTCACCCCAAAATGCCTCAAATGAAAATTCTGGGGGTTTGAAGTTTGAGATATCAGAATTCCGAGTTAAATATTCAAATTCAAACGATTTTGTCATTTCCTTATCAATTTGTCACAAAATCGTGGTTGAAAAATACGCATTTTGAGTCGCATTTGAGAATTCAAGATGGCGTCCCATAAGATGGCAGACAATTTCAATTTCAATACATTTTCACATCTGGGTGTCCCATAATAAAAAGTATAACTTTGATACGCCACTCATTTCAGAATCGCCCTGTATAACGCAAAATATTTTATAAATGTACTGCTCATCAGCCTAGACCATCTCAAAATTTCTTGTTTATCTATCTCAAACAGCAAAGCCGTTATCTCACTTTCCCACAGTATTGGTTCACCCTGTTCACCTATAAATCGTAATGCACTACCCAAAAAAATCCTCGTTGTACATTTTCAGAAAATTCGACCTTCATCGTAAATTCGTGATTCTTATACTTGAAAATTATTGTCAAGAGTATACAGTGTGATTCACCACAAATATTCTTTCCTGATGTAATTGGGTTATTCCTAAACCACATAATTTTTTATAACATGTAAAAAATATCGTTGAAAATTAATTTCTACGGTTTTTCAAATTTTGAAAACATTCCAGAAATACTTGAGTTACAGGTCGATACATATATGGTGAATCAGATATGTACAAGGATTGAGGCAGGTATAGATAAACAAATTCTTAAACAGGTACTGCTCTGAGATCTATTTTCTTATTGAAATTTTGTGAATTCTTATTGGTTAAATACAGTATAAATACAAAATTGTTAATAAAAAGTAGTATCTTCTCTTATGCAGAAAGAATATTCTCCTTCTTCATATTATCTATATATTAGGTCGAGCTAGGTTAGATTGTTTAGAAAAATTAGTCTCCCTTCTTATGCAGAAAGAATACTTTTCTTCCTCATATTATATATCATGCCGAGTTAGGTTAGGTTGTTTGTAAAAAGAAGTGTCCTTCCTTTTTCGGAAATGATTATATTTTATGTCCTAGAATGAGTTCAAAACATATGAAACTTGATGAAACTACCGTTTTATATGTTTCCTACTTTGCGCGCAATTACAGCATACCTTTTTTGGGACGTGCGTGCAATTGCACTATGGGATAAGGACGAGGATTATAACCGAGATTAGGACACACTGTTGAGAATACTGACCACTGCACGTAATTGCAGTATGCCCATATAATATACAAAATTTGCGTGGGTATCAACTCTGGAGCTTGAGATCCCCAAGGTGAACTTTTTTTATTCAGGCGATTCGGACAATAAATGACAAAGTTTTTCGTCTCATTGTAGGAGCCATCTAGAATTTCAAATCTAACTCGAAAATCATGATTACTCCAAGAATAACTGATTTTTTTTCCCCATTATAGGAATTACCTTTCGTGCGCTCTAAGAGATGAAAAAAAACTGACGCCTCCCTACAGAAGCCATCTTGTTTTTTAAAATTTGGACTCGAAATTCGAAATTGCCTATCTCGAGAACCCCTACGTGTATATTTTCAGGTAAATCAGAGAATAAATAACAAAGTCGCCGCCACCTTGCGAACGCCCTCTTGAATTTTCAAATTTAGAATTCAGTTTGTGATATTTGTCGGATTACGAGAGACGAGACGAGAGACCACCGGACTACCACCGGACTGCCACCGGACTGTCACCGGACTGTCACCGGACTGCCACGGACTGCCACCGGACTGCCACGGACTGCCACCGGACTGCCACGGACTGCCACCGGACTGCCACGGACTGCCACGGACTGCCACCGGACTGCCACGGACTGCCACCGGACTGCCAAAAGAATGTACAACGGACTGCCCCAATGATTTACCCCTCGGCCTGTGCTCTACGTACCCCTACTCATCTCGTTCCGACGATCCATTTCCGGAACAGAAAGTTCAACCCCCGATCCCGATGTCTCAATCTAGTCGACCTCTAGTCTGCTCTGCTACTTGCTGCATGGCAGTGGCGGCACGCTGGTTAGTGAATAGGTGAATACCTATAATACGTCAATTAAACCGATGAGATAAGCCGTGAGGATTTAGTAATCTGTGACCATATCCTTCGGTCATTGGAATGTCTCTTTCGAGGTTTCATTCATCTTCGTTTATTCAACCACTTGCAAACCATACGAAATACGAGCTGGGAGTGTAGGTAGGTATATTTCTCTACCAATTTTCTTGGTTGTTATTGAAGATAGAGCGATTTTCACGATCCTGTCCTCGATCCGATTATGCATAACTGTTTCCTCGACTGTTTCCCTTAATTGAAAATTGTTATGCTCTTTGGACATCTTATTCTATATCTATGAGATTATTAGAAATAATATGTTGTGCTACGAATTAGGTCTAACAGAGAAATCTGTGCAGAATCCAGTGGCATACTCAATCTTATTTTTCGGGGTATGATTTCGGAGATGTCACGATACAAAGTGATGTATTTTAATGGAATATCGTGGAATATCATCATTTTTTTATTTCGTTGGCTTCACTTTTTACTCTTTTTAAATAATGTACCTATGGTACTCTATATATACATAGAAATCAGAGTCAAAAACTCAAATTGATAAGTCAAAACTACTTCCCTGGCTAATGCCACGCAGAACATTGAATTGAATCCTCCCAAAATCTATGCATCGATTCGTGTAGACAAATACTGATGCAAGAATTTCTTTCCTTAATGCCAATTGTTTTTAGATTGGAGCCATATTAACTCTTGACACCTCGCTTGACACCTACAGACTGGTTTCGGGCTTTTGTCCTCATCAGTGTAGGGTAGTCACCAACTAGCAGTCCTAATACAGTGTCATTCAAAAAGTTGGCATCATATATGGGAAAAACCGAGTGAAAAACTTTTAATTATACTTCATTTCGAAATTCGACTTGGCAATACTCAACGCGTTTTGCTTCAAAGAAGATGAAAAATTACTCGGTCGGGGTCACGTGACTTTCGCTACAATGAAGGAAAATCATCGGTTTTGCTAGCTTAACCATAAAACCGTAACCGTAAAAAAAATCATCGGTTTTGCTAGCTTAACCATAAAACCGTAACCGTAAAAAAATATTAAAAAAATCGATGATAGGCATAACAAAGATCCTTAAACTAGACTTAAATTATGGTGAACTCAATTATACTATATATGGAAAAGAAATCGAGGAAGGCATTACTATTGAACATTGTAACTATCGGCCATCCAGAATTTTGAAAAGGAAAGCTTAGACAATTTTCTAATGGCATTCAGTATATTTCGGAACTGTAGATACTTATACTCGTCAAAATCAATGTGTATTTATAAATTGAATTGTAAAGGATGCTCAAATAAAATAAAATTGGCTTCGAACTTTTTTTTCTTAAATTATTCCTCCCGAGATTCCTTCACTTTTTCACGAATGCACAAGAGCACTAAATTCAACGGATGCACTGTATACGAACCCTATGTGTTATTTATTTTCGAATTCAGCTTTCCACGAGGCTTTCCATGAAGATTCCAATGATTGAATGATTTATAGATATAAGATATAAGATAGATAGATATAAATTTCCCCTTATTAATGTGGAAAATTCAATGTATAAAATGACTTGGTTCAGGAGATTCCGCAGAAATAGCTAGTTTGGCGAAAACTGAATTAATTCAGTACTTTATTCTCGTATGCACTACTTTCATATCAGAGTGAGACTAGTGAGAAA